TATAAATAGCTCTCTCTCCCAATTTTTTGGTCCTAAATGGGAGAGAGAGCAATTTATATGTAATTACAATTAAATTTATTAAATTATTAACTGATTTAGTTATAGAACATGTCAATATGTTTGTATTAAATTAATAAAAAATTAATATTTAACAATAGTTTAATATATAACTAGCTCTCTCTCTTTTGTTTGGCGGCTTTGGCGGGTTTGGCGATTAAGACAGTCCCGTTTTTGAACCCGTTTTATTTATTTTCTAAAATTTAAAATATCTTATATAATAATAATTTCATTACAGTTTTATTGAAAATTTAAATAAAAATTTACGTTTAGTCTTTTAGCTAGTTTTGAATTATCTATACGTTAGTGTGTGTGTGAGAGAGAGAGAGAGAGAGAGAGAGTCTATCACCTAATACTACGAAATGCAATAAAAAGTGTTTTACGAAAAAACCACAAAAACCTGAGATTTATAATGAACTTCATTAGCGACCCACACATGCCCTCCAATACCTGTCCATACAATCCTAAAACCCATTAACACTCAAAAAAAATTATTTTCCCACAAAATGCCAACTCTAATAGACCATAGCCTACCAGTGCCCCTCTCTAAAAACAATACCAGTGCTCACACATACCTGTCTTAGCCTCTGGCCAGTGAGCGGATGTCATTAAGCCACGCATCTTAAGCCACCGTTGATGACAGGTAAGGGCGCTGAAGCAATACCAGCCCCCTTCCAGGAACACTATCCAGCGCCGGGAGGCGTAGTTTTGGCGTATGTAATAGCCGGCCACAGTGCCATCATTACAGGTCACCGACGTATTTGTCAACATTTGCCTGCTCAGGTAGTAGGGCCTGTAGTAGGTGGGGGTGCCATCGCTTTGGTACGCGTGGTTATTATAGTGATTACGGTGCTGTTCAGCACCGGTGTGTCTACTACTGCCACCACTACTGCTATCACTGTTCAACACAAAGTGCTTGTTATGGTTGTGATTATAGTGGTGCCGGTGCTGTGGCTGCTGTTGTGGGGGCGGTGGGGGTGGGGGTGAAGGGGGCGGTGCCGGCGACCGGTTTGACGGCTGGTTCGCCGTCAACAGAGCGTTGAGTCGTGTGGAGTGATGGGAGCCCTGGGATGATGAGGGCTGGGATGCTGATGAGGACTGGCGTGAGAACATGGATGTGTCAATTAGGGCCGATGATGACAGGCTGTCCAACTGCCGGTGCTTCGCCCCCGTGTCCACATGTGCCCCATTGCTGTCGACGATCGGCACATCCCTGTCCCCACTGGAGTCGTATAGGTTGGCGGCCGCCAGAGCACCGGCACTGCTGTCGCTGGTAGACGCCTGAGCCGTACCAATGATGCCGGCGCTCGTGGAGGTGGTGGTGGGGGACTGGGAGGACGTGTATTTGCCGCATGTGGTCGATATGACGACACCCATCACTAATAGCAGCGCTAATGGCAGCACATCCATCATCGACGGCCTACTATTACTGCTACCGGTGCTGCTGTCAACTGGGCTGTCAATGGCACCGGTGGTTGTCTGCTGGTGGGCACCGGTACTGCTGATGTCCGTCAGCCTCGCGGTGTCGTCGCTGCTGTAGCCGCCGGTGCTGTCTATGTCTGCGGACGCTATTATGGCTGTGAGAGCCCCTAATCGGATGGCACCGGCCTATTAGCAGTCGGCACCAGCGCTAGGAGCTAATGATTTGGGAGATGCCTTTCCCCTTATCTCCTATTGTATAGTGTGTAGTGAATTGATAGAGGAATGGGATTCCGTTTGCGATACCAATCTATCGCCGCAATACTGTGTCTGTTGTCTATAGTCTCTGTAATATATAAATGAGAGATTGTATTGTATTATAGCGTTATTCGTATGAAACAAAAAGTCATTAACAATAAGATTATATGAAATTATTAGTTATTATTATAGTATAGAGAGAAAAGGAGAGATAGATATGTCTTAAATGTATTGTATGTGTGTATTGTTATCGTATTCTCTCTCTCTCTCTCTCTCTCTCTCACCCGCGCTCTACTAATACCCTCTCATAAGAGACCCAATCTATCACTCAATATCTCGTTCCTCTCATCGCAATCATAGACTGCCTTTCCGTGCGATAACAAGGAGTACCGACTCTCTAAAGAGAGTACGAGAGAGAGGGAGAGGGAGGGAGAGAGAGAGAGAGAGCTACAGATAATAAAATAATATAGAATTTTGTTATAATGCAAAAGCAATTACATGTGATAAACCTGGACAACTAAATCTCCCACATAAATGTATCCTTAAGTACGGCAAGATTTATGTACTAGCGTATAGTGAACTGGGGTATGGTATGTTTTTTGTACACTTTATATTGTTGTATGGTAGAGTATTGTTAGCTAATGGGTAATCCATCACATATAAAAAGTAGATTGTATTTTGCATTTAAGTTTGTGAAAGATGTTTTTAATAGATTAGAGTCTGTGTAATTTATACAGATAAGTAGCTGGCTAATTACCATAATTATTGGCTAATGCATTATTATCTGTAACATATATTTTGGATACTATTATTAAAACCTTATTCTCATTTTATTTTATTTTCAAATATACAAGATTACTTGTATCAAATGCTATTTAAATTGTTTAATTTTCAAAATAGTATTCATTAAATTCACTTAAATTTAAAACTCATTGAGTTTTAATACAATAATTTTAATCTATGAAAGCTGTATTTTTAATATAAAGTATTTAGATAATGCACTAAATAATGTTGTGCTTAAAATTTATGAATATGCAATTGAATACAACTAATAAAATTTATTTTTACTTGATGCTTTAATACTCTAACACAATATATTTTTGCAAGAATAAAATTTTTATAACTAGTAAAACTAACATTTTTAAAAACTCAGACTTATTATAAAAATATACTAATTTAAAAAATCTATATTGTTTAACAATAATATACAAATTAGCTTGTTAATTATATTTTAGCAATTGAAAAGTGTACAAAAAATATTTTAATACACTACAACTTATAACATACTATTTTATTTTGTAAACCGCGAGTATGTCAACTGTCAGCTAACTATAATAATATACGATATGTTAGTATAAAAAGTGATATTTATAAGCGTAGCTATATTTATGAGGGCAAAAATCTATGGCATGATAGATATAGCATTGCGTTTTGCATTGATTTATAGCAATATTTTCAAAAATGCAATAAATTATAATTCCTACTTCCAAACGCATGCTATAAATAAATATAGCCTTGGATCATTGTTTATGGCAATGTATGTTGCATAAACTAAATGCAGTGATATTTGCATTTTATACAGTTTACATGCATTTTGCTATTATATAACATATATAAAATACTTACGCTATTCAAATATAACCGCGCTCATTTAGGCGCGTATATTATGCTGAATTAATCCTCGCTACAAGGTTAGTTAGTTTGAATTTTTTGTGTTGGAGATTAATTACACCTAGATGAGTTATTAGTGCACAAAAAGTCATTTTTAAGTTTTTAAAATGTTGAGTTTATTATCCGTGTGTTCAAAATGATCAGAAATAAAATTTCACTAGTGCCATGACCAGGTTCAAATGCATGTTATTCCACTGTGCGAGAACATATTCATAATACTGTTAATGCACCAATGTATTTATTAATATAGCTGGTGTAGTACAAACTGGAAGCGTAGTAGCAATAAATGCCAATAATTAACTGGAACATTTAGAGTACATATAAATATACATTCACGATTGCAATAGTATTGGCGAATATAGTAAATAATATTTAAAAATAGCACCAGTGTCACTTTTCACTAATGCGATGCACACACACTATACGCGTAAACTGATTGCAAAAACTGTATTAAATATACATTTATATCATTCATAGCATACGTATAGTCGGTATTGAGAGCGCGAGTGTACAGTCTGTATAAACTTCTGCCTACCAGTGCCAGCGACTGAATGCCTTAACATACAGTTCCACACATAGTGTATAATGCGGTGTTTCCCTATGGGTATGGGATATACATACTGCTGGTCGGCGGCACAGATCAAAGGCACTGCCGGTGTCGACGCTTTTGCGCTCGAGCGTGCCATTGGCGGTACACATCAAAGGGCCCTGAGCACCACGTATATATAGATATATATATACATACATACAAATATATATAAGGGAATGGGATAACACACACACTACCAGTGCGCCTCTTTGTGTCATGTGAACAAATGTCGGCATTTATTGCCTTTGATGTGGTTTTTATGTATAGTGTTAGGCTGTATATANATATATACATACATACAAATATATATAAGGGAATGGGATAACACACACACTACCAGTGCGCCTCTTTGTGTCATGTGAACAAATGTCGGCATTTATTGCCTTTGATGTGGTTTTTATGTATAGTGTTAGGCTGTATATAGTATAGTATATACGGTGTGTATGTATAGTGTATATACATGTATGTATATGAGCATGCATGTATATAAAAGTTATAGTTTATTACAGATAAACCCCGCTTATAGTGAACCTCTCGCTCTCTCGGAATAATATAGCTCTCTCTCTCTCTCTCTCTCTCTCTCGCAGTTTCTCTCTCTCCTATCCGAGAGAGCATAATATGACTCCCATTCGTTGTATTGTTTTATATACCCATAACATTGGGTCGGGTGTAACAGCCCTTTCCCGAGACTACACTTTTTTCCCACCAAATTGTATGTATGTATGTGTAAGACGTATGTGACTGAGCAGGGTTATGGTCCGTAAAAAATATAATCGCCTGTATTGAGTGCTTTTTTATACTAAACATCAGTGTATAGTGAAAATAGTGAGAATATATGAGAAATTATTGTATTGTAGCATGCACATTAGTATATTTTAATGGGTAAATAAGCAGCTTACACAACAAATTTATTGTTTTAGCTAATATATTCAATGTATATCATTTTTGTGCTAGCGTAATGTATTTTTTTTATTTCATTTTATGCGAGCTATGTGCAGTGTATGTAGTGCATGGTGTATATGAATTAGATTTTAATGTTATATATTAAAGTTAATACCGTATTTAAAATATTTATAGCATTTTTAAACAATTTTAATACTAGTTTTTACGCTACTATTTAGGATTCAGTTTAATTTTTATGTGCGTTTTCCCGTGTATTACATGATATTGGCGTTCAATGTATTGAATGCTAAATCAGAAATTTTGCGAAACTTACAATTTTAATACTAGTTTTTACGCTACTATTTAGGATTCAGTTTAATTTTTATGTGCGTTTTCCCGTGTATTACATGATATTGGCGTTCAATGTATTGAATGCTAAATCAGAAATTTTGCGAAACTTATAAAAAGTTATGTTTTTTCACTGAATTTCAATTTGTATCTGAATTTTGCTTAATATATTACACGAGAGAGAGAGAGAGAGAGAGAGAGAGAGAGAGAGAGAGCTCTAAAAATACATAACATTGATTTTTGAATAAAGGTTTACTAGATTAATTAATACTTGATTTTGACGACTACCAAAAACATTTTAATAGGTTATATTTATTTAAAAAATATATTTTCCATTTTGGAGGGGAGAGAGAAACTGTAAACTTTAACTACAAGCTAAACTGATATGTTATTAATATTGATTTTAAGTAAACAATGGTCGGGAGATTTGTTTCGTAATTATTTTTTATTCAATTACCTACTAATTGTTACAAATGTTTTAATGTGTTACTAGATAAATTTAAAATTAAGTAGTTTACAAATATATTAGAAAAATAATTTTCATTTATTTATGATAAAAGCAATAAATTATTTGTGATATATTAAAAATCATATGTATTTCGCATTTATTTTTTAATTAATCACCAATAATTTTCACAGATATTATAATGCGTTACTAGATCAATTCAATATTAAGTAGATATATTATAGAAATCACTTACGCTTAAGAAAATTATAAAAAAAATAATTAATTATTTGTGAAATATTAAATATGAGTTCCTCTACTAAAATGCAATTGTAAATTTATTAATCATCTTTTAAAACATTAACCATGTAATTATTTATTATGCTGTAAAATAAATTTACTTTAAAATGTAATATATTTTACCTACTTACTCGCTTTTTAGTTAATGATTTCACATTTATATAATTTTAATCTAATATTCATTAAATAAAATATTATTTTAAAATACAAAACATTGACTCAGAGAGTAAATTGAAAAACAAAAACATATAACTTGTGATAAATAATGGGAAACATTAGCACTGTTATGAACAATAGACAGACTACAGATACCATACCTCTCCACTACATCCTAACATCCATTTCCCCAAACTTTACAGTACAAAACAGTATTGTTTTTGTGCTATAAATAGATATACAAATAATTAAAAACCTATGAATTTATATAAACTATTGTCAAATGACTTATGAATAAGAAAAATAAAGTTACATGAACTAGCTATTTATTAACTGGGTAATTTCTATTTGAATTACTATGTTACTAAATATTCTACATGATAAACTAGCATAAATATAAATGGTGTTATTAATAGCGCATTTAATGCCAACATTAATACACAGCACAAGAATTTATGAAAAATGTAAAAATAGCCTAGCTTACAATTTTGCGACATAAGACAAACAAATTAATTATGAAAGTACACCGCCGATAAACACCCCCATAATATACACCCCACGTATAAATTCCAGAGCAAATTAAATATTACTTTTCATACAATATATTATAGTTATAGTGAAATAGTGGGCAAAAAAAAGTATTGTAAACATAATATATTGCATAAACACGAGTCGCTAAAATATACGGCAACGATATAATGAGGTTAAAATATTTTATTTATAAACAAAACCGCAAACTATAAATATATTTTTCGTATAAACTCTCTCTCTCTCTCTCTCTCTCTCTCTCTCTCTTATTTAAATAAATTTTATATCTTTAAGTATTGTTTATATTGAATATTAATTTGATAGAAAAATCATTTATTAATTTTTACAACAACAAAAATATGTTAGTAAATTGATATTTAAATAAAAAAATAATTTTTACCCTAATAGAAATCCATATGACATAAGAAATTCAATACATATTAATAGTTTTGAATGATTTTCCCACGATATGCTGATTTAAATAATAAATATTGTTATCATATATGAGTTTTATAAAATCAGAGTAATTTTACCATTGCTTTTAGATCAAATTAATAAGTAAATATCAAAATATAAAAAGTTACTCTGATTCAATAAACTCATAATACAGTATAAAGATATTGTATATTAGTAAATAACTTATTATTATCACTGTAACGTTATACTAAAATATGAATCATAATTAAATAGTGAATTTATTAAGACTTGTAGTGAATATTTAAAATGATCTAAATTATTCAATATTTATATGTATAATAAATTGAATGACTAGCTTCTAAACTTTTACCTGGTAATAATTGTAATGCATTGACAATAATATTATGTTGGATATACAGTATTACTCACCACGTACTCACAGGATTGTCAATTCATTACTAGCCAGGTAAAAGTTTCAAAGCTAGTCTTGCAATTTATTATGCATACTGTATATTTTATTCTGATTGAGACTGTAAACTTAAGTAAAAGCATTTTTCATGTGTAATTAAAATTGTTTTTGATTTGTGCTATTGGTTAACTTATTCGCCAAGATTTATAATTTTTAATTTAAAAAAAACTAATTTTCCAAAACTATTATATTTTTAAATAAATTTGAGTTATGCCTAATATATATATATATATAAGAGAGAGAGAGAGAGAGAGAGAGAGAAGTTACAATTTATTATACCTAATTTTTTTATTAATATAACGGTATAATATTATATAATAAAATTGATATCTTTTATTTATACGTATTAAAATAATTATTTATTTGTCGTTTGACATCCATTATTAATTGCAATTAAAACTTTTCATAATAAATTTTTCAAAACAATTATCTGGGAATTTAATATTGATATTCTTATTTTATCAAGCATCAAAATTCATTGTCAATGCACACTGACATTAGCAAGTAAGATAATAATTACACTACATGCAAACCACGATATAAATCACCAATTTCCCACACCGTGTCCCATACTAGCGGGTGTGTACCGTACACTAACACACATATAATAGGTGCTTAAAATCTCAGCTGGATACATTTCCTGGTAAAATGCGGGGCTATAATAGCGGCTAATAAGCGCTGGGAGGGCCGGTATATCACAGCCACTGTCACCATACAATGCACTCACAAATACCCGGCCTGTATATACCCATCAGTAGGAAAGGTGTAATTTATAATTGGCTATTATAAGTTTTAATTTATTCTTGATCATTTAATACCCGTATTATGCCATCACTGAGCGTAAGACATACCGGGGCTTAACGCTGTCATACAATGGGATTTACAGACAATATATAATACAATACATGCCGGCGCTGTGTTTAAGTGGCATATATATAATCCCCACTGTCATTTATATATACATGTATTGTATATGGTACGGCCTATCTCTGTATGTATGTATATATTGCGGCACAGGTGCCCTACGCAAGGTCGTTTGCTAGTACAAAAAAGCTTGCACAATTATCTCCCATGTATTTATAATGGATGTGTGTATGTAAGTGTGCACCGGGCCTTTTAGGTGCACCTCTAGGTTTTATGGTCTCTCTCTCTCTCTCTCTCTCTCTCTCTCTCTCTCGTGAGGTATATAAACATTACGAGAGAGAGAGACATTATTTTACATTTTCGCTCTAAACATGTATATTAAGCTACAGTTCCTACGAAAAAAGCGAAAGCACGGGTAGATAAAACATGGTGTTAGTTAGGGGCTTAAGTATTCGGTTTCCCATTGATGTGGTCTTAAGTAAACAAAATTATAAATCATAGGCTTTTTCAGAGGGAGAGTGAGAGAGAGAGAGAAAGAAAGAGAGAGAGAGAGCGTAGGATTTTT